AATGTCTCCAGAATATCTCCACAATATTATAACTTAGTCCCATAAGACATTGCAGAGACATTTCTATAATATCTCTTAGTTATCTCCAGAATATTGCACATTTCAAATGTAATATTCTGCAGACATTGCTGAGACGATTTGTGCTGTGTGGGGATATCTCATAAATATTATAAAAATATTTATTAAAATATATACATTTAAATACATTTTTCTCTTTTCCTGAATTTTTCTTAAAATTTCCATTTTATTGTTTCACACGCTACTTAATTGAATTTAAATTGTACTTTGTAAATTTGCTTACCATTGCTGAGATTCGAATTTCTTATTTTTTTATTAATTTAATAATTTTAAATAATTATATTTATTTTTTTCATATATATTATTTGTAAATAGATATATTTACAAAATATTACTACAAATATTTATTTTTTGTTTTTTATAAATATTGTATAAAATATTTAATCTGTATTTTAATAATATTTTCAATAAAAATTTTGAATACTTGAAGGAAAAATACTTTTTCCTTCATGTATGTACAATATTTTTATTATATTTATATAATATTTTTTTAAGAAATAATTTGAAATAAATATTTATCATAAATATTGTGTGCTGTCTGAGAAGCGCACTACTTTCTGCACACCAAAGAATCGTATTCGTACTTAAGGTTCCTGCACATTCGGAACTCAGGCTATAATTTTTCGGCAGCCGCTTGGATTGGGATGCTAAAAGTTGCAAGCAGTTGCACAATTCTGCTTGCAAATTAAAGAACGGTCAAGATTTACGCAGTCTGCAGCTTAATGTGCGCAACTGAATATACAGAACAATTAAATTATGCATCGGATGCATCGAGTTGTATCTGTTGCGAATAAAAGAACGCACCCTTAGTGTTCTTATATTTTATAGTTACAGTAGTGTTTTTTAACACAATTATTCTATAAAACAGTAAATATATATCATTATATTTTAAGGTACGACTTTATTATTTATTAACAAATTATTAATTCTAATATTTATTATAATATTTAATATTCTAATATTTAATAGAATTATAAATTATAATTCTAATATTCTAATATTTGTTATATATAATATTAAGTGTAAATCGTACATTAATACAAGGTTTTAAAATAAAAGGTACAATGAGGTTTTAATATAAAGAGACATTTTGAGACAAAAAATATTCAAATATTATTCAAAATCGTTCTTCGTAGTGTTTTATCTGGAACGAAAAAATCATTGAAGTTGTTAATAGTTATTAAATAAACAAAACACAAGAAATTAAAATGTAAGGTAATATATTTCTTAAATTCACTATTTATTACTTACATTTCTCTATCGAAACGCTGCTTAGCTCCAGCAAGCCATTTGCTGATCCATTCGGATATCTCTTTTGTTGTTGTGTTATTTTTGGTCGTTGTTGTTATTATATCTAAAATAAACATTAGTTTATATTTCACAAATTATTTCAGAATTATTTTCCAGATATATTTAAGTTAAATTGTAGTCAAACATCTCAATGAACAAGTGAATTTTACTTCATTGATAAGGATTTTAATTTCACTCTTCCACTTGTCGATTTATTTATACATACAATAAAAAAATCATAAGCATCGCATGGCCGAATACGTACGTATAATACATTGAGCAATCTGCAATTCTTCAAAAGACTTCTTGTTTTTAAAACCAGTAAAATTAAATCCCATAGCAAATTCGTTAGTAATAATTTTTTTCATTATCTTCTTAACACGATCGTGATCGTCTCTTCCTCCCAAAGTTTTCAAATAATCAATCTAAAAATATTAAATTGTATTATTTAATAAGTGATTTGGATAATTATATAATTTAAAATTATAATTACATTTAAATAAAATTTAATAAGAGCTAATAGTAATATCAATAGTATTTCTTATTATATTTTTGATCAGTAATAATATAAAAAAACTAACTGTATAATGAAATTTTTGTTATTTTACGTATTTATGATCTTTTTGGAAGTGCAATGCAGAAACATGCAGTTAAAAACATATTGTAATATATAAAGATGCAAGGAACAGTAACCCCCAGATAGCGAAATTTGCGCGAGCAGTTTTCAAGCGGAGCCTGCTATAAACTTTTTATGGAAAATAGACAACAAATTTGATGCTGCATCTGTTATATCAAATAAAACTTGTCTGTTATATCTGTTATATCAAATAATGTCAAACTGCAGATAGATATGCAACAGAGTTTACTATCAAGCAATGCATGCAGATTTGCAGCGAAAACCGTGCAGAGTTTGTAGTGATTTGACGGCAGATTGGGTGCATTTGGCGACAGAGTCTGCTGACAGATAATGTGTGCAGATTGATAGCAACAATCGCACTGGTCCTGCAGTACAACAGAAGTCGGTTCAGTTTCTGCCGCCAATGGTCGCGTTCAGCGAAGAAAACTGTTTCGCTACTTCTACGTAGCGAACGTCCACGATTGGAGTATTCTCTTAGATCTATCAAAGATGTACAGTATGTTTGATAAGAGCGTGTACGGCAAAACTCAAAAACTTAGGATAATACATAAATTGAAAAAATTTGTACACATTATGCATGATATAGACTGCGATGCTTTATTATTAATAAGTTGTCCAGTCGCCTCCATTATCAATAATTGACTGGCATCTCCGAGGCATACTTTCTACTAATTTTACAGCATAATCTTCAGACAAAGATCTCCATATAAATCGAATCTGTCGAATTAACTGCTTGACGGTCCATATTTTCTTTCCTCGGAGCTTAAACTTTATAAGCGCCCAAACATTTTCAATTGGATTTGCATCTGGCGACTGTGAAGGCCAATCCAGTACGTCAACGTCATTTTCTTGT